CGTTTTGAAAACACACCTAACAATGGGCCGTTGACAACCGCCATTATTTCCAGAGTTATCTATGTGTCGTTTCATAATTTATAATATGGAAAATGCATATTGTTCGGAACTTGGGGTCGCAGATAAACACGGCATGCACGTTTGCGTTCGCCTACAGAAAACTCTCACAGCTCAATGAGTTCACCTTTTCCTAATATTCAAAGGCCCTTTAGGAAGAGCGACTAAAAAATTCATGCACTGTAATGAAGAGCCTCTTAATTTTAATCTAAATTCCGTTTGACCTTCATAAATACTCCTACGAAATCCCACTATCAATCCTCGCAAAAAATCACGGCTTCCTTTCATTCGTAATTAATGGAATTAAACCGGATTAGGAGATTGCAACTCTTTGTTTCTGTTTCTGGGAGGTTGTTTTTTTATAATTGATCGAATTACAAATTTCCTCCGCTCGCCGTTTCATCATTGAGTATCTAACTTCATGAATAGAAAATGATTCTTCGCCGTCGAGAAATCGGCGCCCAATAAACGGATTCCAGTAGCCTTGCAGTCGGAGATTTTCTTTTTTTACTGTAAATAAACAAAGTTCCGAGTTAACTCTCTTTAGGATTCGAACAGAAACGGCTTTACTAATGTAATACTGGACATAAAAAATATGTAGGTACTTTCAAAAATTACTAAATAAAATGAAATTGTTTCAATTAAATAAGTAATTTGTTACCTACTAATTATTTAGTTGAAAAAATATTTATCATAATTATGTGATTTAGTAAATATTTACAATTCGGGTCATTTTAATTTTTATAATTATTTATAGGAATATTATGATTGAATAAATAAACAGATTTAATCAAATTGTTTTTTGTGATTAGTTAAAGCCGGTCCTGCAGATGCATCCGTTGCGAACAAATTAGTAAACAAAAGACCAGACGAAAAAATCCTTCCGGAAACTTCGGGTTCGTTAGTATAAGCTGGAGATGAGAAAAATTAGTGTACGTAAACATTAAGAAAGCGGAATATTATAAAACAAAACTTACCCAGTAAAATAACTATTTTACAAACAACGAAGTTTGCTAGCGAAAACGAGAAGAACAAACAACCGGAATATGAGATAAAACTATTCTTCGGATGAGTACATTCGGGCGAGTTTTTGAGCTGGGAAAACAATTCGCTCTGGATTCGCTGAATTTTCGCATCCAAAAAATTGTTTTAATCTCATTAACTTTATAGTTTTCGAATGTATTTTTTCAATCACTGGATGTTTAATTTATTACTAACACAAATAAATAAACTAAATGAAATACGAATTGCTTTTTCTCGCACAAGGAATTTTCGGCTTTAATTGCAGAGTAATTCAATTACTATTGAAAGCTAAATCGTGAAATCTACGTCTACCTTATAGAGGTAGAGAAAATTCACGTTTCAGTGTAACTCCTCCGAAAACATATCTGGCGACCCCATTAAAGGAAGAGATGACTGGGCGCCTCCTAAAAGCATAATTAAAACATGAAATGTGTATTTAACTGTTGAGTTAAAGTTCCAGTTAGCATCGGGCAGGTTTCACGCCTTTGAAAGCTCTTATATGTAATGCTTCTCCAGTACATCCGTTTGTTCGTACATGTGCACCTTATTACAGAAGCGTCATTGTTATATTCTAACTCTAACATATTTCGACTTTATATTATATAGAAATTAGCATATAAATTGCATTTAACGTCTTCAAAGTTTTCGATTATTATTTGACCTTATTCCTGCAGATTTTTAATGATGTAGGGTTTTGAATAATTTGAAGAAGGTTGATTCCTTTAAACCGATTAAAACTGTTTATTCTCCACCTTTTATTTCATATGATTGATGCAATGTAATAGTAATTCGAAAGGTTACTGGTTTTCCTTCCCTTAATAAGCGCTTAAGCGTATACATGCCAACCTATTTTCCGAATGAATAATGTAGGTTTCAACAACGTACTTTATAATTATCTGTCACATCTAATTCGTGACTTTCCTCTACTCTTGTGTACCTACCTACCTTCGCATTTTCAGTGTATTACTTCGTTAAGAATTTAGTCTTGCGATATTGCAACCTGTTGTTACCGAGATTCCTTTCTTCTTTTGAAAAGCCTAATTTGCTTGATTTATTTACACACTTTTTATTATGTGACGTTCGTAATTTGAAAGAGATTTGTTATATGAACCTCAACAGGCATTATTAAAAAAATCCGCTCGATTTTTAGTTTTACGCTTTTGGTGTACACTCTCGCCGGTGAAATTTTTGTAGAATTAATATAGCCGTATCTATTAACACCGAGGCCATTAACGTTGATTTTGGGCAAGGAACCTAATCGTGGACGTGATGTCTGCCACACCGTCTATTCATCAAAGGCACAGTTGCATAATAATCTTCTGCATGGCTAAGTGCGTATACAATATCGGTCAGTTAACGCTAAATGATTTAGCGCGGTCGTTACGCGTGAATTGATGATCAGAAGGCAGAGATAATTATTATACATAGTAGAGCTTTAGCGGCGTCAATTTGAGACCCGATTCGATGATAGTCCCTTCACTTATTAAACTGCATCTAATAGTCGATTTAATAAATTAATTACTATCTTATACACTACAATTTGAAATATTAAATGCTCCCCTACTATGTTTGATCACAATTTTGTACCTATATGGGATAATTTAATTAAATTAATTAGTAGTATACGTCACGAGCCCATTGACTAACGATATTAGTTAACGTGATATTCGGAAGCTTGGCTTACCTTCCATCAATCCCTCCTTATTATCGAGACTTGATGGCATGTATCCCGTGTCCCGGCATCATCTGCGTTGATCCCGACACTCGCGTCGACTTAACCGCGGTTTATCTGCGCCCTTAATCCCTTCGGAAGGTCTTACGCGTACGAAAGAGAGTGGCTACACGCACGGCGACGTGCGAGCTTTATAGAAAAACTTTCCGGCGTGATTGATGTGATTTGGAAAGTTACCGTAAAGGGCGAGTTTAACTGGCTTTTTGCTCGTCGCATATTTCAACTCGGAAATGTCACCTGAGACTGAATAGGGCGGTTATACGAGTTTTACGAGTTACGAATTGCATTCGGAGCGTTTGCGAAAATGATCATTCGGATCTGTTATTAATTTCTGGTGGAATTCTGATTTTACGTACGGGATTAAGGAAGCCCGCGCGCGTATAGGAGCAACCCCTGTTTAGTTTACGACTTAATTAAATTTTAAAATAACCATTGCCGCAAATTTCGACTTCTCCGCTCCTCCGTAGCAAACGCGGTGCGTGCGTAAGGGATTTTAATATTTCGTCCCGCATGGAAACTCCGCGTACATTGTAAATATTACCTGTGTGTACGCCGGTATAGATTGCGTTGTACTTGCAATGCCGCAAACTTACCGGGGACTCGGAAACTTCGGAACTTGTACGGTTTACTTTCGAGTTAGGATATTAGTTGTAGCACTTTGAGACTTTAGATCAAAGGTGTGCCAACCGAAGCCGATCGTATTTGATTTGGTGCACGTGTTTATTAGTTTTGTAAAGTTGACTGACTTCGTTTTATTTGTGTGCTGCTAAAAATACGCGATGTTTGCAAGTGTGAGGACGACAATGAATTGTTTTGTGAAATTGGTGATTTTTTTGTGTGAAAGGACTTTGTATGTATCACTCTGTATACCGATAGAATGAAGAATAACAATACATGACAAAAAATACGTTATCCCTATTCCTATGATTGTCTATTTGCCTTTTATTTGAAAAGGATATAAACCAGGGAATGGTTAAGTGGTCGTGTTGTTAATATTGATTAAAAATAATTGATGATATTGTCATTAGAGTAATATGTAAGTCCTTTTTTGGGTTTTATCGTGAATATCAGTTTTTACGCTTTTTTATCTGCAAACTGGGAGTTAACGTCTGTTTTTTTATCAAGACATTAACTGGAATTTTCGATTTGGAAATGCCAATACAAATAAATTTTTATTATACATATTTTTCTTTTCAAAAATTTGAATAACAATTTTTTAAAATGTTTTTTATTAACATATGTATCTCAGAAAGATATTTAGATTGGTTGTTTATGAAACTTGTCATAAGAAATATATGGGTTAAAGGCCACTTAAAATTTCAAAATTTAACAATTTGGCAAGTGTGCACATTTATATCGAAAAGTTTGTCACATACATGTATTGTCATTTTCATTATAATAACAATTTATGTAGAATCAAGTGTTGTGAAACTCCAATAAGAAATAAACTTTTACTATCAACTCCAGTAATAGCTCGACAATAAAAAGTACATTAAGTACGCGCCCATTATCAATCTTAATCATTCCTATATTAATTCCTGCCGTGTTCGTCACCGAGACACACAATGATAAAAGACACCCATAATTAATTATGCAGATGAAGAAGATGACTATAGTCGCACGTGAATTTTGAACCCTTTAGTCATACACAGACTGACGCCGTCCGCCATGAATAATTTTCCTGCTTTTGAAACTTACTCCCTTAAAATCCGCTCGTTTCGCCAACTTCGCCAGCCCCCGCGCCGAGATTAAGTGCTAATTTACGTTGTCTTTACATCCTTGCTTTTCATAGGAAATATCCCCGTGCCCCTTTTGATTTAAGGAATTAAACTATAGGTACAACGGAGATGAATCTCGCGTTTCTACACAAACAGGTAGACAATTTATTTATTCAGCGATGCAAACTATTTGGAAATACGCGTGTATATTTGAAGAAAGAACTCACCCCCGTGCTCTAATATTAAATGTACTCGATAGTGTTATTCAAGCTTCTGTGAGCTATTACGACCCGGTTAGTGAATAATTTATCAAGGTAATTTTCATGGTTCCTTATGAATATTGAATTAGGGTATATCGATCTTACCCTTTCATAAATAACTTTGGTTGCTAAATAGATTTAAATAACAAAAACTTGACAAAAATGTCGTTTTTTTACGAATTGTCACTGTCATGTTATGTTAAATACTTTTTTTTGAACAGTTTTGTTCTCCATTTAATGTTTTTTATGTGGACGTAATAGTCCTCGAAGCGAGTGCATAATTAAGATTTTTTTTCAAAAAAAATCATTAAGTAGTAGTATGTTTTAAATGTAAAAATAAGAAAATATGGCAAACGTTGGAGTGAAAACAATCAACAATATAATAAAAGAATTAAAATCGGTTCTCAAATCCGAAGAATTGGACCCAGACAAATTTAACGAGAATTTCTACAAGTTTTACGTAAGTTTCTAACAGCAACAATCAAAATACGCAAATGAGCTGGTTTTAGATAAATTTGCTCCTGCTCGATCCGGAATGGAGGGTCAACATCTCCTTCTTAGAGAGACAAAAAATAGAGGAGTTGATAGATTTCCTGTTGAAAGCATACAAAACGGAAAGGGAGCCTAAGATGACGCTCCTGAAATTCCAGTACAGTACACGAAAAAGACACGAGTATTACTTGGAAAACGGCGACGCCATCGAGGCTCAACGTCTAACTAAAGTTAACGCTAGGCTGCATTCATTAAAGTCATCAATTCTGAACCCGAATCCTGAAACAGTTAATATAGAGAATAGTCCTGATGTTGAAGAAATATTCAAAGATATCGTGATCTATTTTAGTCTATTTTCTGGTATGGGTAGTTATTCGAATATTCAGGTAGTACGCGTTTTTTTAACTTATTTCGTGTCAACTAATGCGTAATTTTTAGATTTATACTATAAATTATAAGGTGGTAAAAAGTGTTTTGAGTTTACAAGAGTTAAAGGACCTCTTACGAATTCCTTATGATAAACGTGTGACTATGTTCGATGATATTATCTCCGTTTGCATGGGTGTCAGGTTGTATAATAATAGCTGTGGTTATAATTCTGAAGGTATCCTAGATGGTAAAAATTATATAACGATTGTTTCATAAGAATCAACAAAATTGGATATATTTTTAGTACCGCAAGAGTTGGACAATTTAATAAGCTCATTGATATCCAAATTATTTGATGAATCTGTGACATTAGACCACAAAATATATCAACTGTCTGACTTATTAAAAAAATGCTACACTTTGGAAGAAATCGAAGGAAATGTCCATCTTAAATTGAATGTTCCTGCGAAATTAACGAGTGAAAATTTAACATCATCTGTACAATTGCTGGTACTTTACAAACAGAGCTATAAGGAAATGCGGTGAGAAATCCCTCTGTTAAAAATATAAAACAATTTCGCTTCATTTTGTTTACTAGTAAGATCAGTGAATTAGCGGTGGAGCTCAGAGAAAAATCAATTTCGATACATCAAAACTTGCTCTTGATCATGGGTAAACTTAGTCGTTTGGTTATACCGGAAATATTAATCAGCGCTGCATTGGTTTTTGTAAGTTTATGCAGACCTGGCCAGAATTTTGCGGATAGTGGCAAATACATGCTTTTATCGCAAACCGGATCGTGTATCTTTCTCATATTTATGACTCAAGTGGCGTCTGGCTTTGTTCTTCATATGGCTCACTATCCGTATTATCCGCAAAAACGTGACCAGCACTGTATATTGATTTTAATGTAGTAGGTATTCCTTATTCTTCAATAACATTTTTGCAGCCTTATTTCATGGAAATAGCAATGTATTGGAATACATTAAGAGACCATTATTTTCGATTAAACTATTTAGTAGAGTATGCCCACTTTGTAATGACTAAGACAAGTTCCTTTGATTCTTTTTTTAACAAAATGATGTCCATCGGCATATCCAATTATCGTATAGAGAGTGAGAATGACATTATAAGCTCGAAGTATTCGATAAATAGTGCAGTATCAAGAAAGGATTCATTATACGACGTAATTTTTCAATTAAATTATTAATATTTCATGCATAGAAGATTAGCCATTAATGTTAAAACTGCTTTTAGTATAATGGATATTGTTGCGTTATTTTGACGTTCTCCGAGGGCTTATTACTTAAAGGCCGAGAAAACTTTGGTATTTCTAACTATTGTGGTAAAAGTTACATATTTTCCTCGTCAGTTGCTTATGAAGCTTTTGAAGCAAATCCAGAATAGTAAGTCAACAAAGAGATTTTATAATAAGAAATTTATGTTTAAATTTGATTCTATTCTAACTTGGTTTATGTTCAAAATATTACAATTTCATTAGATGTGTTGCTTTGGTTTAACAAGTTGATGCAATTTAATGTTTAATAAGAAGCACAAATTCGTGAGATCCATCTTGCTCATTTAAGATTTTCCAATATTACAGTTATGTAAAAAGTGTAATAAAAATTGCACGCAGCAATTGCGGATTAATATGTTACTTGAACATGCATGATAGAATGATAGAATTCAAGAATGATTATGAGTAAGAACCTTATACGTTTAAATCGTGTCCATTTTGTGTTATTGCACCCATTTTAGACTCGTACCGGAACTGATCAGTGTTGTTACGCACGCGGATGTTGGTTGTCAAGTCGATCTTGATCTCCTGCTCGATATATTTAGCAGCAAACAATTATCATCCAGCGTCTGGTATTATAGAAAACAGGCGACAGAATTGGTAAATTTATCTGGAATCGATGATCAGGACTTTTGATAATTGCTTCGAACTTTGGTCGTTATGATGTTCTGATCAACGGTTGCTTCTTGCATGATTTTGGATAATTTTCATTTTTAGCTTAATCTAACGACAATGGTTTCGAAAACAGTGAACACTGAGAAGAAAATGAATATTGACGCAATAGCGACGCAGACATATCATTTGAAACATACTGGTACTCAAACCATGTCGGATATTTACACGAATACACATCGAAATTTGTCATTTTTATACGGTCTCAGAGGCTGTAAAGAGGATAAGTACGCACACTTAAAAGCGAAATTCGGTGATAAATATACTAAAAAAAGTATTTGAGGCAACGGTATGTGTGAGATATATGTCTTAATTCTGTTAATATACTGTTGAAATGCCTCTTATTATCTATTTAAAATTCTCTCCGTAAATCTAAAATTGTAGTATTGAAATTAGAGCTGCCTGTATACAGATAATGGAGGGATGGAAGAGAGAATGGCACAACAAATTTGGTATACAGGATTACAATATCATCACACGTTACCGCGAATTAGGAGGTCGTCTAAAAATCGGCTTCCTATCAATTTTTTCTCCTTTTGTGCTCGTTATTCACTGTAGCCATCGACAATTAACAGAAAAATTTGCAAGCCAAAGCCGATAGCAGCGTATAAATAACGGGTGCATGAGAGCTAAAGTCCATACATATTTTTCCATTGTTAATGGTCGACAGATAAAAACAACGAACACTTTTTGTCTTTCGGTTCAGAAACATGAAGTGGGATTAACGGCGTAATACATCTATTTTTTTTACTGGCTGTTTTCGACGGCCTATGTGTCGGCACAAAAGCCGAAGCTCTTTTTGATTTTAAAGTTATTGGCGTAGATTTCTTTCGGGAAATAAATTGCGAGGTAAATCGCGATTTTCCGGCCGTTTTGCATAGTGTATTCGCAACGCTATCGGGCTTTTTAATTGCCAACTTATTTGAAATTATTCGTTTCTTCCGTCGGTTATTTCAAATTCAGTACATCAGTATCAGTAGTATTTTTTATGTGGATATTTACGTTTTTTAATTCAATTGTATTCGGCAATTTGGAATGAAAAAATAGTCTGCTTTATGCCGGCGAAACGGGAGGAAAACAAGTCGTATAAAACACGCGGACTTCTGCCTATACCCTACACGTTTTATGATAAATTCGAAATGATCCATTATTGAAATGGAGGACATCGAGCGTCGGTTATGATAGATATTTTATTTTCTTTCTTTCATCCCTTGCTCCAGATATCCTCGAAAGATACGGCTAAATTATATGCATATCTAAAATTTTATTAACGTACTAACATTTTATAAATATTTTCCCGAGCGAAGGTAGTACGATAAACAACAAAATGCCGAAAGGCGCTTTTGCTTATATGTTGCTGTATAATTTAAGTGTACCTTCTGAACCAGAGAATCTCATTTTTATATAAATTTGTGTTTTCCTATTCAATATAGTCTTTAAATTACCATTAAGAAAATAATCATATCTCGAGATGTTTTTCTTACGGCGTTTAAGAAAGCTTATAAAATTCAAGTTCTGTATGTTGTTGATTTTATTAACATTATAATGAATTTGAATTTTATAGTCAGTAGCAGGAAAAAGCGTATTTTTGTGTCCTGCTGTACGTATCGTTTTATTTAAGGGACCCCGACATCGGTCCGCACAAAATTTTTACGGCACGTGTATATAAAACTGCAAAGTAAAAAATTCCCGCTCCTGCGGTAAACTTATATAATGTTGGATTTAGCATTTCGTGCGGCCATATTAAAAGCAGAATACTTTTCTAATTTATTATCGCCGTTTAATTTAATGCCAAGTAGTTTAAACTTTGGGAATTCGAAATAAATATTCGCCCGGAATACCTGATGTTTTTTTTGTCAGCCGCCGTGCAAATGACAAACGCTGTGAAAAATGAATCCGACTTGATTTAATTAATGCGGGGATGTAGAAGGATTCGTTGAAATTTGAAGCAAAATCAGTTTGTTAAAAATAATTAATAAATTGATGCATTATCAGATTTTATTACATTACCTTGTTACCAAGTAAAAAGCTATTTTTAATAATTTCTAGTAGGTTTTTTTAGCAGCTTTGCGTTCAGAATCAAGCTTTAATTAACATTAATATTAAAATAATTTGCAGGTTTAAATGGTAATTCATTTAAATATTTCACAAACGAAATAATTAATAAACTTCGTTTGTTGACATTTACAATCAATTTTCCTAACATTGTATTAAAATTCTGTTCCATAATGTCGGTTGTTCCGCCAAAATTTCGCATTACACCCGCCATTATTCGAAAAGTTTCCGAATACGTTTTAAATTTCCAACATTGTGTGTTTCATCACGGGCAAGTTTGTGTATACATTTTCAGTAGGTAAATGAAAGAACGAATAGTTTGCTTAACGTCCTATTCGAATTAACTGTTCTTTTATTAAAACCAGTTAACTTTTATCGACTATCAGAATAGAAAATCATGATGCGGAGGAAAGTTAAAAAAAATATCGAGATAAAAAAATGCGATATCCTGTAGACAGTAAAAGTTTATTCAAAATAACTTTTCGACCTGTATAATCGTAATCTATTCCGAACACATTCGCACGACAAAGAAAATTACCCAGACATTCCGCATTCCGTCCGATCGAATAACGTTTGGAACTTTTAAATTTCCGAATCCTCGAACTTGGCTTTATCTACCGCTCTTCTGCTCGACCCAGAAACTCCAAGACAAAGTCAAGCGACAAATAAATAGTCTTCGGGGCGTCGTCGGGCAACGTTTAAATATGGTCCATTATGTAAATGGGTCGGGCCGCAATTAGCATTCTACATTCGCCGGAAACCATCGTTGCGTTTAATATGCACCTACGACACTTAGCTTTCGCTTGCTTAGCGTACGCGTTTGCTTGAAATTAAATTTTGCAGGGTAATTTTGAGGATGGACCGAAGAAACGTTTATTAGGTACGATAATAATTGTCTTTTGCGAACAGAACAATTACCTACCGTTTAGAGCAATTCGTCGAGTTTCCGCGCCCTTGGAAGAAAACGCCAAACTTAACGTAACACAAGTATAATTAATTGGATTGAACCCGATAAGAACGGGAGAAAGGAAACTGAGAAATAAAATTAACCAAATAAATTTCCCCGTCTGTTGCCATATTTATTTATTTCCCCGGCTCTTTCTCAACACCATTTCCCTATATATCTATACCTATATATATCCTCCAAAAACATCTCTCCCTTATATTCAAATAAGCTCGGTTGATGCTTAGAATTCTCTATGAATATGAAATGAAAGTTAAATTTCTCTCTCTGAAAATTTGTATTCATCATAGTACCGACTGTTGTATATTTAATTTAATAACCTCTTCGCTCCTTTTTCTTTCCATTTCTAATGCCGGATTTTCCGCCAGAATCGATGGAAAAACATTCTTGTATATAAGTTTTAATTACTTTTCTTTTTTAATGAGTCCACGGCGCGACATTATTTCCAACCCCTTGAGGCAGGATCGGCGTTCCCTTTTGTGCTTAAAACCCGATTCTCTATTATATCCTTTGTTACTGTATTTTTACAACTATCGGAAAATGAAGGTGTACCTAATGCTTAACTGTTAAAATGTGGGTGAAATATAAGATAAATAAAGATTTTTGAGGAATAGTAAAAAAGTTGGCGTCGATCCTGTATTATTTTGGTTGCCAAGTACAGGTTGGTTCGGCGAATGGAAAACGGGCGGAATTTTCTTCGATTGCTGTGAACAAATTGAAATCACTTAAAATGACGGTTTTCGAGTTAAAATTAATTCGCAAGAAAGTTAATTTTTCGTCTGTTTTCTTTTACCGAACTTGTTTCCCAGTTAAAGCGGCGTTCTCATTAAAAGTTAATGTTTTTCAAAAGAATTTTCGATTATTTAATAAAAAAAATAAACAAACAACCGATGGGAAGTTTCACGTCGAAAAATTACAACAAATTCCGTTGGATTTGTAAATTTAATATGGCCGGACGAAATTAATTTAAACCGATAGGAATTTTTTAAATTGATATATTTTTTTGTAATCGAATAATGAATTTGTGACCGGAAAACAATCCAATTATGTGTCCGTCAATTATTCCGTCTTTTTTTTTTGCAATAACGACTGTCAACTCGAAAGTTTAGATTAATTAAAAAGCGCATATGTTGGGAAATTAAAAATTGCATTCCATTTGCCTATTCTTCCATATTAAATCAATTTTATGATAATTTTATTTTGCTTTATCCCAGATTCGATTAATAAAATAGTTGGTTGTTTTTACCATCCCTTAAACGTTTGTTTTTTTTTTAGAATATTTCACCCAATATGACGATTATTTCTCAAAATAGACTCAATATTTATCCTCTTATATGTATGTACAAGCGATTAATGAACATTTTGTACTTCCCAATTACTTCAAGTATCAATAAATCAATCCTTTATCTCATCTTTTTGCCTTCTAAAAGGGAGCATACTATCATCGAATCCTCGAATACCCACTATTTTCTTTCCAACCCTCACAGACAATTGATAACCAATAAGGCATGCCGGAGAATATAGCAGTCTCGGCTGTCCTCCTGGTCGAAGTGAACGTTCTCATTTCCTTTCTCTAAAAAGGAAGAATCGCGTCGCCTGGGTTCGATGTCGAAACCGTCCCGGATTCCGGATTCAGTGCACGGAACGCTGACGTCACACACGGCGTGCACAGCCTCCCTCTCGACCATTATGTTTAATTTATCGCATGTCTGTGCGTCCGTCCGACGGGTTCGAGCCGGGGTTAACCGGGGAGTTGGAGAGGTGAAGCAAAAGGGGTGGCCCTGCATTTCGGGAGGCTCTACGGGCATCATGCAACTTGTCATACGTCACGCGGATGACAGCGAAAGGAAGAACGGAGTCGGGTCTTTTAATAGACGGACGTTGTCTGGAAGTTTGTGTATTATTTCGAAAGCAGAAGTTGCGCGATGTTGATCACCGTGTGTGGCAATTTAAGACCCACTTTGACACGTCAAACGTTGCCAGGAAGCTCTAATGGAATCATCGGTGATATATGCGACGTCACATTTGGCATGGAATTAAGGCAGCGTGGATACATAACTTATACTCGTTTCTATAGAATCGCGACCAGGAGGATCTTAATAAGAAATCTTCAGAACGCAGTATTTATCGGCCCTATAAAAGTCAACTCGGTCCGGATTGAATTGAAAATTCTGAAAAGAAATATCCGGCCCGATTTTAAAGTGGATCAAAGCGATTTTGGGATCGAGTTTATGAGGAGCATTATGAGTGTTTGCGGTCAAATGTTGAACAGAAAACGGGATGAGAAACAAGGAGTTATATTGTGTTTCCTAGACTAAAT